GAATTGCAAGAATTAAAAATAAGCCATAAGTGAARACAATGAATACACTAAGTTAATATTCACTAAAATAATTAAACACATTGCAAAAGTGAGAGGGGAAAAGTGTTTGTTTCATCATAAAACAGGCACAGATGTTACAAGACTGATAACATCAAGTGCRTTTTCAGCAGCAGTAAGATTTATCTTGCTTCCTGACAAATTCCTCAYCGTTTTCAGTCCAAATTGTTCTCCTGTGGCCCCATTTCCACAACCATAAGCTTATGAAGAGTTTGAAGTGCATTTCATTGAAAAAAAAAAACTGATTTCTCATGACATGAGAAAGAATATCACTCAAAGAAACGCTGTGTTTATGGTTGTGCTTTCTATTTCCACTGTGGCTTCAGAAATAGGGGCAACCTGCTTGCTGRCTGGGGAGAAAAAGAAAAAAAAATACTCTAGACATCAGAAAAAACTCYAGATTTTTTATTCCTATATCAGTTTCCTCATCCTCTATTTTTCCATTGTCTTTCTATAGTCAGTGAACCCTCAGAGATCTCWATTCTCCTTGGCTGGATGCCCAGCCATGCTCTGAGCTCACTGATGTTCACTGCAGAAAGTTTTTTGCATCTTCTGCAAATAATGCAAGCCTTGCTTTACCCATCTCTCCTTTCCCCTGACTGAATGGCCCCTATTCTCTCKGATAATTTTCTTTTGGGGAATACAGTGGGTGTGCATTTTGGATATTATTATGCACATTTCTTTAATCAAACCTGGGGGTGGCCGTGGAATTTTTSACTGTGGTTTATTCTTTCTCATTGTATGTTTGGAAAAGTTGGCTGGATTGGGATGGGATTTTTTTCTTTGTCCTCACCAGGGATTCGAAAGATCAGCTTGGACAAAACGTTTCTGTTGTAATGTGGGACCATACAGACAATTCTGTGGTGATCCCAGTTCCTTGATAGACTGAATCAGGAAAAGAAATCCTTCACTTTCCATTCTAACATGCAAAAGATTTAGAATAATAAGGAACAGTGTTAGTGAAATGTAAAGGTAGAAGAGCTGGAGTTATTATCTGTCAAGGGATTAATACAGTACAAGTTGTCTCTTGTGGGTAGATGTGGCATTACATAAAACCCCTTTTTTTTTTTTTTCTTTACACTTTTAATTTAGTATTCATTTTTTTCCTAATCTACCTGAAACGGGAGTAACTGCAGGTAAAACCACATGTGCAACTTTATACATTTTTTTTTTTTTTTCCTTGCATTGCTCCTGGAGAACAAACATTCAGACTGAGCTACTTTCTTCCCATTTTGTGCATGATATTCTCTGTCAGCTATGATTGTTCTCAGAAGATACACCCATCAGATCCCAGAYTTYGTARCCTTCCATCACCTTGTACTTTTGTGGTCTGTAAAACCCACCACTCCCAGAGCACAGCTGAAGGTCTGGTTTAATTCATGCTTTTCAAAAAGAAGCCCTTGGTTTGCTCCAGCTTGTTTCATACAACACAAAGAGTAAAAGCCAAAGCCATACTCTCCCTCTGACCACAACATGAGAGCAGCTGGCTCTCTAATTACATCTTGTAAACATGAGCCAAAATGAAATGTTTCTGCTTGTGGGTAGCATGCTTTAAACAATGAAAATACCAGGTTATCATTCACCAAACTGATATTACATTAAAACTTTATGATAGCAAACAAACTCATGCTGACAAGTGCAGTCTAACAACATTCTGTCATTTATCATAATTAGGAGCTTGTGATAAATCTGATGTTCTGCTCTTTGTGTATATATTCCTTTTAAATGTACTTGTTTTCCTTTTAATATTTAGTTTCTTTAGATATCATTAGTCATTGTGTTCAGACAAGRAAAATGGGGAACATAAACAGCAGAACATGTTTAACTCTTCCATGAGGTACCACACTGGGAACATATCGAAGAAAACATTTAAAAATTAAAGAACACCTATCCCAGAGAAAAAAAGACGACTTTTAAATACATTTAATTTAATGTTATGAAAAGTTTATATCCTCTTTTAATGAAGGCAGGAAGGAAGGGAGGCAGGAAGGGAGGGAGGGAGGAAGGGAGAGCAAAAGAGAGAAAAAAAAAAAGAGAAATAAGAGAAAGAAAGTGAAAGAAAGAGAAACAAAGAGAAACAGAGAGAGAAAGAAAGAGAAAAAGTAGAAGAGAGAAAGAGAAAGAGAGAGAGAGGAAAGAAAGAAAAAAAGAAGTTTGAACAATAAAAAAAAATTTATATATACCCAATCTACAAAAGCTGAAGAATCTGGCTTGCGAGGGAGACACAAATCCCTAGTCTGTTGGGATCCAATCTTTGTAGACTCAATTTTCATGCTGGATTAACTCCTGATGATGACTTCAAAAGGACAAGGTTTTCACCTCAAGTGTTCAAAGCAAAACTCAAAAGAAAAAAGCCCACACAAGACTCCCCAACCTGTTTTTGATGTGGAATGTGCTGCACAGGATGACTGGGACTTGCTGAGCAGCTCTGATCCTCTAATCTACATTGTTGAAGAAAACGACTTTGAAATGCATTTTGTGGTGTAGAATTATTTTGTGGTGCAAATGATTATGCAACCCGATGTAACCTTTTATATAATTTMATGTGTACTCCTCAGGTCCTGTAAAAGGGAAATCTACCCAAAATATTTGGAATAATCTCTTGTTTGCAGCATCAGATTTGCAATGAGATGTGTAGCCCATATATTTTTCAAGTGTAGACAGCTTTAGGATAACTTAGCTACACATATTTTACTGATATATTATATTTTTTATTCTTATACATCTCATCCTAAAGCTTTTGTGTACTTCAAGCTTTTTATGGTTTAATTTTCTTGTCACGTTCAAAGCAATACATCAAGCTGAGCTTCATATTTAAGCCCAGACATGGAACAGGTGCATCTTTATGTTTTGACTAGGAAATGTTAGGCTCTGCACCAAAAGCTGAGTAAAATATTTTCAAAATAGAGTGCTTGTTAGGAGAGCAAACTACAACAGCAACAACAAAGAATCCCATTTCCTATCTTTCAACAAAATAGAGGCARTAATAGTTCTTCTAATGATAAGGTGATAATTGTCATGTAACATTAGATCATCTTTGCTTGAAGCTGCTTTTTGTTTTCATTTTTAGCAGCATTTTGAAAGGTTTTACAACCTACAAATTAGGTATTATACAAAGATTGGGTAAGCAACCCAAACTCAACCCTGAGCCAGGCATAGAAAGTTCATTTCTTTTCAGGAGAAGATTTCAGCCAGAAAACAAATGGATACCTAAGGATGAAAGGTGATTATGATCTTGAAGATTAAATGAAGAATTGTTTCAGAACACAATTCCCCTTTCTCTAATGAAATGACAAAGTTATTTCCACTTTGGAAAGTGCTTTTGATGAGGCTCTGCRTTTGAGGGCAATGTCTGTGTGTAAAGGGCAAGCGTTACGGAATAAGAGTTGGTTCAGAAAATTACAGACCAAATGAGGAAAAACAAATGAGTAGTTTTAAATGGCTCCATAGAACAGTAAATAACAAGGAATCAGAAAAACAAATATTWTTTTCATTTAAATGCTAATATCACCTTTGCCTTCTAGAAATAAAGAAAATTAATAGGAACAACACAAATGAGCTTAGATCAAGCTCAACAGCCGGTGGCAGGRTAGTCACCACTTTGTAACCAAATGGGACATTTCACAGCTATGCAATCTCATAGCTTTCTGTGCTGAACAAAACAACAACTAAACAGCATTCCACAGGTGTTCCTCTTACCACTTTTCTCTACTCTATCAACCCTGGGGTAAAGCTGAAACCTCCAGGAGCAAAGAGGGAAAGAACAGCGTTCCTATGAACAAGATGTGTGATTTGGTACGAGTCAAACACACCAAACTCCAAGCGCAGCTGGATGTCCTCTCTCACCCAGTGGCTTCTGCTGTGGGTATTCAGGTGCCTGTTCATCAAAATGATRGTGTGGATGCAAAATAAATCCTTCTTCAGAACAGCTACCATAAAATATGTTGATATGAGATGATAAATTTTGATAATGCTGAAGAAATGTCTCCCAGATCTTTGCACCTGAGTTACTTGGCATCTGCACTCAAACACATTGATGCAGTTAGAGCAATATGCTTTCTGTCCTCTTTTCTGTCTTCCCTGGCTCTCACAAAAATATGAAGATRAAGCCATCTTTCAGATGATTTCTGCTCAGGCGTGAGAGAGAGGAAGCATGTATGAGCTGGGGGTAGCTGTAGGAGAGGGAAACACAGAACGTGAGAGTGAGGGGTTTGTGAATCCCCATATTGCTAAAGAACTGAACTGAGCTAAAATATTTATAAATTATTATGAGTTTTCATCTACTTAATACTGATTCTCTTTTCAAGACTGTATAAATTTTACTGGATATATGCTCTAGAAATGAAGAAAATTACCTATTTTAGGATTTACAGGAATAAACCTTTATCCACAGGTCCTGGCAGAACTAGGTAAACAGACTCCTTGCTCAGATGTGAAACATGCTATCTCACAATACATCAACTGCAGTAACACTTGGCTTCTCACTTCCAGGGTCTGAGCCCATTCACAGRCACACAGAAGCAAAAGCAGGGATCCTGTGCTCTCTGCTGGCACAAGGCAGGTGAGAGGGAAAAGACTGGAAAGAAACTGAAAAGGACTGCAAAAGAGGAAAAGGTCACTTTTACCACACCATCCTTTTATTTTTCTTTTTTCCCCACCTTAATTGTTTGGGTCTGTTCTCTGCAAACATGAAAATCAGGTTACATAAGCCTTTCTTCTGACCTGATATGGGAGATCTTGGTGTATTTCATTACAAAATACGATTCTGTGGCACAAAACACTCTTCCTGTTGTCAGAAAGAGCTTTAAACAACACAGAAGCACACACACAAGAATATTTGAATGCTCTCATACAGTAYATTTGATTAAAAAAATTAAGTAACCAAGAAAACCTATTAATTCCAAGCATTCAAATCTTGCTGACAAAAATGTACTGATAGGAAATTAAAACTATGGCCTAAAAAAATATTTAACAGYGACCCCAAATTCACTGTAATGCTGTTTATTGAATCTTATATGTGGTCAGAGGAGCCCTCAAAGTAACAGCATCACATTTCCAGCACATCAGAAATAGAGTCCCAAATTCCTTCTGCATCTTCTGTGATGCCTCGGAGTGCAGCCTGCATGAGAAAGAGCTCATTATGTCCCACATGATCACAGATGCCCAGCAGAGATAACAGTGTAAATCATTTGTTCTCTTTAAAATAATTTATTCATAGGTAGGAATATGAAAATGTGCCCTTTATGGAGTTTATCTGTATCTATAGCAAACACAACTTAAATCAATTCTTCGTCTCCAGGACTGGTAAAGTTTGACTAAGGCATTAGGGATTTTTTATTAACCTCCATTAATTCAGCAGTCCTACCACTTTAATAACAAATAAAAACGGATGGCTAAGAAGTTTCATCTTATTAAAAGGTGTGAGTGAGTACAATTAAACATGCCTTACATATCTCAAGATACATTACACATTCTAATAAAATCCCAGGGTTATAAAGAGGTATGTGAAGTTTATTAGGATGTTGATTAGTGATCACATATAGCACATCATTTCTGTGGTAGGAAGAACACACAATGATTGATCTTAATTTCCCTTGCAGTTCTGATCTTATTTCTGGCAGTTCTATAGAATCCTCAGATATCCCATTGCAATTTAATTTTAATTAGATGAGCAAATAAGATGATGAGAGTACTTTTTTTTTTTTTTTTTTTTTTTTTTTTTTTTTTGCATAGCACTCAATGAATTGCCTACATATTACATTCTACTGTTTGAAAAAGTATTAAAATCTGCATGGGTTACAAATCTCTGCAAAACCCTTGTATTCTGCTCATTTTCAAATCAGGTAACTCTAATTTTCCATTAATCTAACTTATTTTAAGTGAGTGTCTCAACTACTTAGTGTCACTCCTTACCTACTTTTATTTAAAYGAAAAATTCTAGTCCGAAACTTTAGCAGCCTAAAGTTCAGGACCAATCCATATTTAGCACACGAGAAATAAATTAAAATAGTCTAGAATCAGACCGTATAACCTTTTAAAAGTGAGAAAAATGCATAAAAGATCTGGGGAGAAAATACCAGACCACACTATTTAACATAAAACAATGAATTAGGGAGAGGGGAAAAAAAAAAAAAGAGAATATATATCAGATGGTGTGAAGAAAATGGGTACGGTCTGCTGCTAATATAACAATGAAGAAAGCATGCACACAGTGTTTCTCCATTTAAAGCTAAGTCAAGATAAGCCTGCTTTATGTGTCATTTAGAATGAATAGRCTATATTAATATACAGTCCATATTTTAAAATTACCTCTAAAATAAAATGAATAATGCTTTTGCTGCACAAACCAAACTCCTTTATCTGCTCAATAAAACCAGARTACTGAGTCAGTTAAAAAATAAAGCTCCTTAGCACAGATAAAATACTCAATGAAGAAAAATCATCTCCTGTGATGAAATATGGAAAATAAACTGTGTTAGTTGCTTTTGCTCCTTGCTAGAATGACATTTATAAAAGAATAACTTAATTTTGGGAAGAGATTTGTTACATTTCAAAACCTCATGCAAGTTCATCAAGCATGAAGACTCACAAATGTTAGGTGCTAAATATAAAGCAACTCAGCCCCTTCTTCTCCATCAGTTCTCTGCAGGGATCCAGTTTAAGRTGGTTTCTTACCTTGCACTTGCATATGAAGAATTTGAATGGAATAATCAGCTTTGACTGGTCAAAATGGTCTGCTGAGGTGTTCATCCTCTCCAAGGCAGAAGGAACAAAAATCTCAATTACTTTTACAATAAAATCCAACTTTGGTTCACAGAGAATCTAAACTTATCACCCCATATTTTTTCAAAGAAAATATTTCAAACAATATTTGAAACAGTTCCACATTTAAGACAATTTAGGGTTTGGTTTTGGTTTTTTTTTTTCCCTGGTGGCTTTTTAAAATATTTCTTAAAGTACTTTTTCTTTTTGACACTAGAAAAAGGAATGAATGTGCCGCTAACCCAAAGAAGTTAAGGCT